TTTCCCCCGATTTGACGAGTATACTCGTTCCTGGCGCCCTCAGCAACACCCTGTGCTGTCTCTTATACACATCTTTTCCGGGACCTTGAATGAGGTTTCCCTTGTGTCGGACTTGCCGAACACCCTGTTGACAAATTTTTGGAGCCACAGTTGTACTACTAGAGAAAAAAATATGAAAGTGAATTTGGCAGGATTTGAACACAGGACATGCATAGTTTACAAACTGGGAACTGATCTATAATAATTTAATTCAATCTCAACTTTACCTATGTAGAATAAAGTTAATTCATCTAGCTAGAAATGGATTATTATTTACCAAGGTATTTGATTGACTTCCCAGAGAAAAGGACGACCACCCTTGCATCATCAAGATTATGAAAACTCAGATGATATCAATCTATCTAGACCAAGTCGACCTGCAAAGGTCAAGAGTGAGCCAGTGAAGCGTGAAGGACCAAAATGGAGCCCTAGTCGCCTTACCACAGAAACAGAATTTGTGATGGGCGCCAAAGCAAATAAGTAAGACAAGTTAGTTACTTATGGCAGTAGCAGGCACAGTCGAGTTTTTAACATCCACATCACTAGTCAAAGATGGAATGATTTCCCCTATACTTATCACATGGGTTATAAAATATATTGCTCATAGGAAAGTGCATACATTTGTCAAGCTGTATCTCTTCCACATGTGAAATTAAGGTGTTAGTCTCCAGATATTAAACAAAAAAAATAGAAAGAAACCTCCATACTTAATAATTTGTATCTTTTCTTCAAGACAGTGTTCCGGACAGCAGCTGGTCTGGTGACCCACATGCTGGTGCCAGTTAACACGTTGACTGCCAGACCTTTTTTTAAGGTTCCTTCCCGTGTGCCAAAACAAGTTTACATGTACAAACATGCTTTTTTGAAATTTTATCTAGTCATATGTCATCAAAATGAAGTGATTGGCGGGAAAATATTAGGGGGCGAGTATACTCGTCGATGGCACTGTGATAGAACTTTTTACTGACTATGCCAAGTGCGAGTTATCTCGTCCGCTTTTTGCATGTGTTGGTATATGTTAAAAGGGTGCCCTCACTTGTACCGCTCGAGTGTACTACCGGCAAAATAACACAACAGACATATATATGTCATTTGTACGTTATCGTTTAGGTGTATCTTCCCCGAACTACCAGCCGTTGAGTCTGTGGTTCTACAATGTATAATAAAGAAGTTATAAACGCTAGAACGTTTCCCCCGATTTGACGAGTATACTCGTTCCTGGCGCCCTCAGCAACACCCTGTGCGCGAGTATACTCGTCGCTGGCAGCCAACGTGTTAAACCATCCAAATATTCAACATTTTTTTCTCAAAACTAAAAGAATGGTTCAATGCTTAAATTGTTTTTATTGATTTGTATAATTTCTGTTTTTTTTTTCTTTCTTAGAGCTCTTGGTTTAGGAGCAACAAGGGGCAGACTGTATATGAAACACCCTAATCTCTTCAAGGTTGGTATACACATCTAAAACACGCTTAACTTCCCAGTTGTGGTAGCCTCCCGGAAAATGGGATGACTTCCCACACTCCCTCGAGCAAACTGATATCCCCAAAGCAACCAATCTGTATCAAATTTAAATTTTCTGTCTTTACCAATGTGTTATCAAATTGTCTTCTGGAACTCAGTGTCAATGGGTATTCACCACATGCAGCAAAATATAATTTAAATGTGTTAAGAAAGCTCATTTAACCAGATCTCCTGGAATTGGCTTTCTCCAACTTGGAACTCCTGCATTAGTTTGTAAACTTACGGTTGGTTCAAATTCTACACTGGCTATTTATGTGTGTATGTGGGCAAGGCTACATTTGTCTCTATCCACCCAGTGCTATAAATGAGAATGTGGGATGTTCTGTATGTTAAGTGTGCAGCATGGTCTATGGTGAAATTCATGCTTAAGTAGGTATCAGTGCCAAGGACCAGAAAAAGTAGTAAATCCTGTATGAATAAGATGTTTTCAGTGAGGGTATTATTATAAAATGCTTGCAATGTTTCGAGATGGAAAGCACTATTGCTTCAAATTATTATTATTATTGTTATTATTATTATTACTATTAATATTATTTTATTTCAAATTGTTATTTTTTAATCCAAATTGGGATGGAGCTATTGTATCATTCGGATTCTGCAAACACCAGGATGTATAATGCAAACTAAGGCTTATGATATTGTTGTTACTGTAGATAGAGTATCTCATAGATCTATCACTGTATGTCGTATTGCCTTGAATAAATATGGATAATAAAATAATCTTTTCTTTTGGACAGTATTCTGGTGATCAAGATGATAAACAGTGGTTGTATGACAATAGGTTGATGCCTGCGACTGGTGGCAAGGCCTACCTACTGATCAAGGAAGACATTCTAGAGTTATCAGAAACCTCAGATTACAGGTACACAACATAATTACTAGAGAGAGCAAATGTGCTCCTCAAGAGCTTGGGAAGTTAATGATGTTCTTAGAAGTCCTTGCTGTGTCTGCTCATCCACAGATTTGATTCACCTGCACCATCCTAGTTTAACCTCATGGAGCTGCATAAGGATTGTTGAAGCCTCAGCTCCCCACTCACCTAGACCCATGAAGAGATATACTGTTAGAGCACCCAGGGTTCCAACTGATTATTTTTCCTTGTCTTAATTTTCATAGACTTTTAATAGCTTTAACCACTCACAAAAGCCTCCTAAATAGACGTGGGATTCAAATGATCACCCATGCCCATTCAACTACATCAGTACCTTTATATTGTACTTTATGTTTAACTTGCAATATTTTAAGGGTAAAATAATGAGTGTGGAACTGTAAGTTGGTGGTTAAATTACTCATATTCATATGGATTTTTTTGCTCCACTACCAAGGCCTCATACAGTAACTACTTGTTATTGGACGAGTTGAGTGGCCGAAAAGTAATGCAGGGCTCCGCTACCAATGGTTCCAGCCACTCCTCGTCCAGGGTTCGGTTTATAGAACTTCTTGGATAAAACCATAAAAACGGGAGGTCAAGTATATGCATCTGACTTGTGTGCACTTTACAGAGTTCATTGTATCCTTCGGAAGAGGAGGGGGTTACCCCAATGCTATGGTTATTTTAGCCCCTGTAGTGATGATGTGAACTAAGCAGCTTTCTACAGTTGCTACAGTAGTCATGAACCATGCCCATACGCAATTCAGCACAATAAGTTTAATGCGTTATTCTTCACCTTTACTTTACCCTTTATCTTTACTTTATAAGTTCATGAGTAACTTTCGAATATATTGCTATTAAAAATTCATAAAAGTAAAATTCTAACATTATTGCACTTGTCTTTCAGAAACAACACTCTTCTACTTTATGAGCTAAAACCATTTGTAGTACCGGAAAGAATGCTGCAGAAAATGCGCAAATTCATGGAAATGCATCGGACAGACAGTACACCAGGAGATTGATAAAAACATGGTGTGCTTACAGTGCACCTGGTCCATGATGATGCATATGTGTCCAATTATTAACACCTGATAATTGATGACCTGATGTCATTGTCAGTACACCTGGCATGAACCTGGCCTAACATTACACCTGTTTATAAATGATTACTATGTGTCCATATAGTAATCCTGACACTTCTAAAAGAACAGGTGTCCATACATGTACACCTGCCATGAAAGACTAGGTGGCTTTTGTCATCATCAATGACCCATAGTATTTGCAATATATCTGATCATTGATGACCAGGTGGCATTTGGCAGTACGTCTAGTCATCAGTGATCAAGTGTAAAAGTACTTGAAATACACTGATCATTTCTTGCCAGGTGTTCTTATTAGTGCACCTGGCTTGAATGACTGGTGGCATATGGTAATTCTTTTATTCATCATCAGTGACCTAGTGTACTTGCAATATAACTGATTA